CCGTGCGTGTCCCGTGCGTGTCCCGTGCGTGTCCCGTGCGTGTCCCGTGCGTGTCCCGTGCGAACCTGCGGTGGAGCAGCAGGGGTGCCCAAGCACTGTCCAGCTGCCTTTCGTGACGTTACACAAACACGTTTTGAGGCCGCAGGCTTTCATTGTGAAAGCAATCGGAACGTAAACCCTCCTTCGTTTTCCCCGCTTTCCTGCTGAAGGCTGGCGCGTGTGGTACCATTACACGAGTTTGAGAAAGTAAGGGCTAACGCTATGTCAGTCCTGAATGTGTTTTCTGGAGATCCTGCCCCTACCCATTAGTTCCTATGGAATCAGTGGCGAGGAGTCTGTACTGTCTTCGGGAACGCCACGGACATGTTGCAGCGCTCACTGTCGTTGTGACTCGTCCAGATGTCCACGATGGGCGTGACCGAGCCCGGACCCGCTCTGATCAGTACCTGCGTCCCGGCTCTTTTCTTTCAGTCCTGGCTGGCGGACCGGCGCAAGGCCCAGCGTGAGGCCCGCCTCTCCCGGATCCTGCGCGTGAACGAGCAGCACTGCTCGGCCCGGCCTATCTACGGCCAGGAGGTCCTGCGCTTCCTGACCGTCCTGGACCGGCCCTCCGCCCCGTCTCCCGACGCCCCGGGGCACTGGCTGAGCTCCGGCTACGCCCACTGCCTGAACGCCCAGTCCCAGGCTCCGGACCGGTACTGGGAGCGCAGCGAGGCCCTGAGCCGGGTCATCCAGACCCCAGAGCAGCGGATAGAGCAGCTGTCCAACGTCATAGACAGGTGCAGACTAGCGGCGTGTCCCTGAGCTCACGCAATTCTTCCAGCAATGTTAGCCAGTCACTGTCCTGGTCCTGGAGAGCCCCAGTCCGGTGAGGCTTATAAGTCCCCCTCAATCAGATGGGCTCCAGCCCCAGTCCAGTGAGTCTTAGAGGTCCCCCTCAATCAGAGGGGCTCCAGTGGTTAGTTCAATGGTGGATTGAGGTCAGTTCCCCCAGTCTACAGTGAAGTGACCCCTGCTGCCCCCTCTCTTCCCCAGGTTCATCTTCGTGATCCCCCCAGTCGAGGCCCCGGCCGTGGCCCTGCACACCTCTCACCCCCCGCCCTGGCTGGCACACCGTGAGGCCGTGTTCAGGGAGCGGCTGCGCGCCGAACTGTCCCCGCGCACCGCCTGCCTGCACCGCGTCCACTGCAACATGCGGACGCAGTTCCCCGACCTGCGGCTCATCCAGTACGACTGCGGTGAGTCCTCCGGCCACCAGGGGGCGGTCTCGCAAGAGGCCCATTGGCCGGCGCACCCGTTACTCACCCCTCTCTGTCTGCCGGCCCGTAGGGAAGCTGCAGACTCTGCACATGCTGCTACGCCGGCTGAAGGCGGGGGGTCACCGCGTCCTGATCTTCACCCAGATGACCCGCATGCTGGACGTACTGGAGCAGTTCCTCAACTACCACGGACACATCTACCTGCGCCTGGACGGCAGCACCCGCGTGGAGCAGAGACAGGTGAGCTGTGGGGATGAGCACCGTTTGGAATTGGGGATGCTGGGCTGGAGGCTTCTTCAGTCAGCCCAGGAGACGGTGGAAAGGGCTCTTCTCCCTAGGAGCAGAAAGACTGAAGTGCTCACAGCGGCCTACACAGACTCCTGTTTCTCCTCCTGCTGCCTGGTGCTGACCCCTCCTCTCGCTCTCCCTCAGGCCTTAATGGAGCGCTTCAATGCAGACCGGCGGATATTCTGCTTCATCCTGTCGACCCGCAGTGGGGGCGTGGGGGTCAACCTGACCGGGGCCGACACCGTGGTCTTCTACGACAGCGACTGGAACCCCACCATGGACGCCCAGGCACAGGACCGCTGCCACCGGATTGGCCAGACCAGGGACGTGCACATCTACAGGTACAGTGCGGCGCTAATCCTGACACAGAGCTGACCGTGTCAGCCATCTGCAGCCCAGCGTCCCGCTGACGCAGGTCAGGGAGAAGCGCCTCTACGGCCCAGAGTCGCTCTAGAGCAGGTCAGGGACGAGCGCCTCTACGGCCCAGAGTCGCTCTAGAGCAGGCCGGGGACGAGCGCCT